TGCTTTGAAGCCGAGGAGATGAGTTCATGCCTCAGTGCTTGGGAAGCTGGAGAGCCGAGCTTTGCAGTTCATCTGGATCTTCCACAGCTCTCCAGAAAACATTTAATAAAGCTCTCAGCCTGCTTTTCCAGGGACTGCTGCTCCTCACACTCAGCTGGCTGTGCCAAAGGCTTTCCCTCTCTCCTGGCTGTGGGAGCCTGCAGAGCTGCTCCTGGCGTGTTCACTGCACCTTGGTGGGCTCGAGGGGAGGATAGTCCATGATTCCACAGGACAAGGAATGGCTTCAAACTGCCAGAGGGCAGGGCTGGATGGGATCCTGGGAAGGAACTGTTCCCTGTGAGGATGGTGGGACACTGGCACAGGATGCTCAGAGAAGCTGTGGCTGCCCCTGGATCCCTGGAAGTTTCCAAGGCCAGGCTTGGGTCAGCCTGGGATAGTGGAAAGTGTCTCTGCCCTTGGCAGGGGATGGCACTGGATGAGATTTCAGATCCCTTCCAACCTGGCTCATTCTGGAATTCTCTTTCTTTTGACCAAATAGCTGGGGTTTTTTCTCATTATTTATTCCTATTTGCTGTTGTTCCCTCTCCTTCTGTTTTTCAGGATGTCTCTGCCATGAAGTGCACTTGGTTGGATTTGTTGATCTTAGAGGGCTTTTCCAACCTAAACCATTCCATGATCCCCTGATTCCTTTCCCTCCAGCTCCACGCTGCCCTGCTGCTCAGCTCCTTGCATGGCAGCAGTGCTGTGAGCCCAGTAAGGAATCCCAGCGTGGTTTGGGTTGGAAGGACCCTAAAGCCCATGCCATTCCATGGGCAGGGACACCTTCCCCTCTCCCAGTCTGCCCCAATCCCAGCCCTGTCTGAGCGCTGGGTTGTTTCAGGACAATGTGGGATTTGTTTCCCTGTAGAAGAGCCTGGAGCTTTCCCCAGGCTGGGCTGGGCTCTCCAAGGCCGGGATTAAATCCTCCCTTGGAGTTTCTGGGAAGCTGTGGCAGTAACGGGGCGGGGAGGAGGGACCGTGGCCATTCACAGCCCCCAAGAAGAGCCTTCACTCCTCTGTATAATGGCCTTCTGTTGGCTTTTAGTGGGGTGCAGTTTAGTAAATTAGGAGTCTTCAGGTACTTAGCACTTTAATGGTTCTCACTAAGAACATAATTAAACCATAGACCCCGTAGGGAGAAAAAAAACAGTTTATTGTGTGTATTTTTAGACTCTGTTACCAGCCCTCATAAAACCTGCTCGATCCAAGCCAGGGAACAGGCCCGAGCTGGCGACCCAGAATTCCTGCAGCAGCACTCACACCTTACAAATCTGCCCCGTGAATTACAGAATTCATTTTCCTGCTCCCATTTCCAAAGGCGTTTGCAGCAGCGGTTCCTCCCCGGCTGCTGGAGGGGAGAGGGAGGCACCAGGGTTATGATGTTGTGCTGACACACAAAGCCATGGTTTGCTAATTGTTTTTTTAAATTTAAAAACATTTTCAGTCCCAAAGAGGTGCCCAGAAACGAGGCTGCTCCGAGCCCAGGGCTCTGCTCCCTCTCTGTGTGCATCCACCTTGGGATTGTTGAGTTCCATCTGCCCTGGAGCTGCAATTCCCGTGTTTGTGTGTCAGGAGATCCCAGTTCTGGGTGTAGGAGAACTCCCAGCTGCTCCTAGGATGCTTCCTAGGATGAGGAGGTGGAGAGGGAATTTTCATCAGGCACTGGGGTGATGGGACATGGGGGAATGGCTTCAAACTGGAAAAGAGCAGGTTTATGATGGAAGATGGAATAAAGTGGATTAAGACGGAATATTGGGATAAAATCCTTTCCTGAGAGGGTGGGAGGCCTGGCACAGGTGCCCAGAGAAGCTGTGGCTGCCCCTGGATCCCTGGAAGTGTCCAAGGCCAGGCTGGATACAGCCTGGGAAAGTGGAAGGGGATGGGAATTAAATAATCCTCCAGGTCCTTTCCAACCCAAACCATTCTGGGGTTCCATAATTCCCCTCACAGCACAGCCACAAAGCAAAGTGCAAAGCTCCAAATCCCAGGAATGAAAGAGCCTGGAAAGCTTTTCCCTCCTCTCTGACACCAACACCACCAGGATGTTCCCATGGGTTAGGATTTCTCTGGAATAGCAGGTGTGGGGCAAATTCCCTCTCCAAAATCCCATTTCTCCAGTTACGGGATTTCTTAGGGTGGCATTTATTAACATATCAGAATTTGGGGCTGTTCCCTTTGAAACGTTTGCCATTTTCTTGTCCTGGATGGAAAAATCTCCCAGTGTCAGAAGATTTCAGGTTGACAAAAGAAGGGTGCTTTCCCCAGCTGTGAGTGCCTCTGGTGGGCTCGGACACAAAAAGAATCCAGGAAGTTTTCCAGCATCCTGGGCTCCTGGTGATTCCCAGGCTGCTCCATCCCAAGGAAACACAGCTCCCTTCCCAGGGAACCTGTGCTGTGCAGCATCTGGAAGGCATTGCAGGAACACACACACACATCTCCTCCCCCAGCAGCTTCTGAGGCATTTCTGGGACGTGTGAATCACTCCTGTCACTGGGCTTTGCTTCATCCTCAAATCCAGACTGGTCTGGGCTGGAAAGGACCTGAAAGCTCATCCCATCCCACCCCTGCCGTGGCAGGGACACCTTCCACTGTGCCAGGGTGTTCCAAACCCATCCCAGCCTGGTCCTGGACAATTCCAGGGATCCAGGGGCAGCCGCAGTGCTCTGGGAATCTGGGTCTTCCTCCTCATCCTCACCTGGCCAGGAACTTCCACTGCAGTGGGATTTGAGGCTGGAGTTTTCTCTTCCCGCCCTTAAACAATTTGGGATGGCAGTGTCTCCAGTCCCAGCTCAAACAACAAGTGGGAACAATCCACATTAATGTATTAATTACAATTTTAAGTAGGTGTGACGTTAGTAACTCTGCCTGCGTGAGTGCCAAACATTCCAAGCTGTTGGATCGATGCCTCAGCTGGGCCAGGATTGGTTAAAGCACTTAAAAATAATAATAATGATCATAACAACAACAATAATTTAATATTTATAATAATAGTTTAATATTGATAACACTAGTCTAATATTTATAATAATAATTTAATATTTATCATTATAATAAATAATTAATAAAGATCATTATTATTGTGGTAATAATGATGATAATAATAAATTGTGGTAGGTAATAAATTGTGGTAATGTGATACTAATTGTGATAATGATGATAATAATAAGTTTATAATTGTGATTATAATAATGCATTAATAATGTTATAATGACAATGATAACGATAAGAATAACGATAACAGTAATAATAATGATAAAATAATAATAATGATAAAATAATAATGATAATAATAACAATTATAATATATATAAAAATAACAATATATATAAAAATATTTATTATATATCTATATTATATATAATGTATAAAATATATATAATATTTATTAAAAAAAATAATATATAAAATAATAATGATAACAGTTATAATATATATAAAAATAACTATATATATAAAATATATATTATATATCTCTATTATATATATAATATATAAAATATATATAATATATATAAAATAACTATATAATAATAATAATAATAATAATAAATAATATATATAAAAATAACTATATATATAAAATATATATTATATATCTCTATTATATATATAATATATAAAATATATATAATATATATAAAATAACAAATAATAATAATAATAATTATAATAATTATAATTATAATTATAATAATAATAATTTGAAGTAGCCAAGGAACAACCTGTCTGTTTGGAAGGATAAAAGCATTTCTCAGCAATCTGGGATCAAAAAAATCCCTCTGTGAGGCTCGCTGGGAGGAGCCCAACACGGGATTAACTGGAAGCAGGTCCTGGTGGAGGGGAAGGAGCCCGGGGGACACCTGGGGCTGCCCTGACCCCCCAGCCTGGCCGAGTGGCCTTGGCAGAGCTCCCTGACCCCAGCCCGGCTCCATCCGGCCAGGAAGGATGCGGTCTCCTGTCCTGAGGGGCCACTGCAGCCTCCAGCCCAGGCCGAGCTTTATTAATCCCAGCTTTGCTAATAAGGAATTACAATAGTTGTGGGATTTGGCAGCGGGAGCGTGCCTGGCTGCCATGCATCCTGCAGGATTTGCCCTGTTTTGTTTGTATTTTGGATTTAGCTACAAATAATTTAAAGATGTGTTGTGTCTCCTTCAATTAGCGTTTGTGTTTTCGACGTCTCTCTTTTTTGTTGTTGTTGTTGTTGAAGTTTTAAAACAGTACCAGGGAATTTGAGCCTGTCAGATACGTTAAGATAAATTCACATTTATTTTTTGCTCCAGTTGTGGGATTTCTTAAGGTGGCATTTATTATCATATCAGAATTTGGGGTTGTTCCCTTTGAAAAATTTGCTGTTTTCTTGTCCTGGACGGAAAAATCTCCCAGTGTCAAAAAATTTCAGGCTGACAAAAGAATAATATTGTCCCAAGGCCAGTATGTAAATACCTTAACCAGTAGAGCATGTTTAGAGGAATTACACTTTCCTCTCCCAAATTACCATCTTGGAAAGCAGCTCTACCAGCACATTTATTTGAATTTTAAACATTTTGAAAGCAGATCTCCAAGGTTTTGAAATCTGGTTTCCATTCCTGGCTCTGTTTGACCCAAGGCCTGACCCCGAGCAAATCTTAGGCTCAGTTTCTGGATCTGCTCCGTTGCTCTGAGGATCCTCACTCAGTTTAACATCCCTCAGTGCTGATCTAAGATTTCAGTGTTAAATAACAGTGGGGTTAATTTAAGATGGGGCTTGGTTATGACGACAAAAGGGAAAATTAAAACTCTTGCTTTTTAAGAGATGAATTTGTTTAAAGACGTGCGGAGTGAAGTCTGCAAAGAAACAAGTTCCCAGAGGTGCAGGATGGCAAACCTGGGGAGAGAAACAAGGAATAAGGCCAGAACTTTGCAGCAGCCCTTCACAGCAAGCTTTGGAGGGGATTAATTCCTTTTTTCCTCTGCCACTGCAGACGCAGCCGGTGCCCAGCCCCATCTCGTACTTCATGCACCGCTCGCCCTGGTGGTTCCACCGCCTCGAGACCTTGGTCAACCACTTCATCGAGCTGGTGGTGCCCTTCTTCCTGCTGCTGGGCAGGAGGATGGGCATCCTGCACGGCCTCCTGCAGATCCTCTTCCAGGTGAGCTGCTCCTGCTTCGTGTCCTCCAGGCCTCAGGTTTTGGCTTCTGTATTTTCAAATTCTGAGCTGTTTTCGTGTGTAGTTCTGAGATTTATGTTACGGTGCCTCAGGTTTTGACTTTTATATTTTTCGGGTTCTGTGCTGCTTTAGGCTGTAGTTCTGAGATTCATGTTATGGTGCTTCAGGTTTAGCTTTTCTATTTTTCAGGTTCTGTGCTGCTTTAGTGGGTGGGTTTGAGCTTCCCATTAGGGGATGGTGAGCTCTGTGCACAGAGCAGGGAGACAAAACAATTCCTGCTCCAGCTGGGCACCAAGGATAAATGATCCAAATCTCAAGCCCAAGAGCATAAACAGTGTGGACTGAAGAGAGAAGAAGGATGGGACTGCATGGGCTGGAGCTGTAATTGGACAATTAGCTCCAATATGCAAATGGAGCAGAACTTATAAAAGTGAGAGGCCCTGTGACCAGTCGTGCATTTTGTGACCATTTTGGTTCACCTGGGGTGCAGCCCTGGCTGGGCTCTTGTGCTGCCCAAGGTGGATCCATTGAGGAGATCCTTTTAATAAATCCCCACTTTATTCTCTAGCTCAGCCTTCTCAAGGCATCATCCTGAGGGTCCCCTCCTCTCCTGGGCTTCCCACTCCTCCCAGCAGGAGCTGGCTCCGGGGGCAGGGTGGGAGTTCAGGCTCCAGGGAGTGAGGATGATTCCCAGCCAGGAATTCCTGGGTGTTTCCCACTGCTGGAGGTTTGGCTTCTGTGTGGCAGAGGAATGGCAGCCCAGGATCAGTGCAAAGGCTCTGTGGGGAATCCTTGTTGTTCCCCCAAAAGTTAATTTTTACAGACATCTGTCCATCTCTGAAGGGATTCTTCTTTCTGCATTTATCATTTGAGGATTGTTCTTTATCTCTGGAAAGGGCTGAGATGTTCTTCACAAATACCAGATTGCCTGTGCTGAGGTTTAAAATCAAAATAATTCCTTGAAATTTTAATGGATTCACGTTCCAGTTGATTTTTTGAGTGGGTTTTTTTGTACCTCTGCAGAACTCAGAGGACAGAAGCTGCTGCATAATACTTCCCTAGAGCCCATCTGATTCCCCTCCTGTCTGTCCTGGCAGAGTTCAAAGAGCTCATGAAGCTCCATTTCCAGCCCTTGCTGTCCCTGTCTTTGTTCAGCATCATGAAATTCATACTCAGGAGCTGTTACTGCTTCCTGTGAGTTCATGTGATGATTAAGCTGGAGAACAGCTCATAAAGCCCCCTGGTAAACCACAAAAATGCTGATCAGGTTTTAAAGGTCTGACAGAAACCCCGGCGGGTTTGTGCCCTCCCGGTTCCTCCTGCTTCCCAAACGCTTCCTGTTGTGTCTGGGTGCCCCTGAACAGCAGCTTTTACCTTTTTGGGGCAGCTTTGGTTGGGTTGGGATGGATTTGGGCAGATGGAGGGAGAGGTGTGACCCAGGGAGCTCCCGGGGTGTCACTCCACGGGTGCCAGCTGTGTTTGTGGCACCCCTGAGGTTGTTGGAGGCACTGGGAGGATTTTATTCAGCCCAACCCTGAGAAAACTCCACTGACAAAGCAAAACCTACCCTCTCTTCTGGTTAAGATGAAGGAGGGCAGGGTTAGATTAGAGATCAGGGACAAATTCATCCCTGGGAGGGTGGGCAGGCCCTGGCACAGAGAAGCTGTGGCTGCCCCTGGATCCCTGGCAGTGCCCAAGGCCAGGCTGGAGCACCCTGGGACACAGAAAAGTGACCCCAGGAGGGCTGGAATGAGATGATCTTTAAGGTCCCTCCCAGCCCAATCCATTCCATGCCCAATGCTCCCCTGTCATCCCCTTCTCCCCTCGGGGCTGCTCCATCCCTGTCACTCCCAGCCAGGAACCTCCGGCTCCTTCCCGGCTCCCCCAGGGCCCCTAACGAGGAGCAGGGCCCTGGGGGGGCTGGGGCACCTCAGACAGGGCTGAGCCCACCCCATAAATGCCCTAATGACAGCCAGTCAGTGCAGGCATCAAGCCCCTTTAATTGGCCCTTTATTGATAGCTGGCAATTACTGACTTATTTCGATCACGAGGGGAGTCTGAGCAGGCAGAAAGGGTCCCAGTGTAAGAGGCAGCTCTGGTGCATTTATAGCATTTCAACAAAAACCTGTTTATTTAATATTTACTGCCCTTTTCTTCATTCAGAATGACTTTTATTGACAATCCTTGTGCTCTGCAAAGGAAGCAATAAAGTTTAATGTTGATATACCACTTAATTCTGCTTTTCAAGATTTGAATTGACATTACAGACAAGTTTTATTGGACATTTTATAATTGTTATTGGAGTCATGGTGGCGAGCTTGAGTGAGTGTATTTTTCCAGATTCCAACTGGCCTGGAGAATATTGCTTTGTCAGGAACCCAAAAAAAGTTGGGCTTTAAAAGAGGAAAGTGGGGTTTTTTTCCAAGTGTGAACTTATTCTTCTTGCCTGCTTCACGTTTGTAAGGAAAAAAGCTTAGAGAGGGTGGAAACATCAGAGAGGAGGTGCTCAGCAGCCTGAGCATGGATGTGTGTCCACCAGGGGATTCCTGTGGGGTTGGGATTCCAGCCTGGAGTTATCCCAAGGGAGCTGGAGGCTCCACCTTGTTCCCATCCTGGACGTGCACAGGAGGTTCCTCTTGGGGTTTGTGTTTGGTGGCATTTGGGGTGGGATTTAGGGTGGCTTTGATGGACACCACAGTGCTGCCAGCACCTCAGTTCCCCCCTGGAGGGGCCACAGGGACCCTTGGGATGAGCCCATTCCCAGCAGATCCAGGAAGGGCTCGGTGCTGCTGCTCCTGGCCAGGAATGCTCCCTCCTGCTGTGCTGTCCTGCCCCTCGGCTCCGGGGCTTTTGCCACGTTCTCTTTGTGAGCTCAGCTCAAACCCCACCATTTCCACGGACCTCCTGGGCACTGCTGCCAGTTGTGTCTGCCAGGAATAAATTATCCCTGGAAGTGTTCAGAAAACGGTGGATGTGACACTTCAGGACGTGGTTTAGTGGTGAATGTGGTGGTTGATGGTTGGATTTGATGGTGCTAAAGAGCTTTTCCAACCTTGACAGTTCTGTGATTGGCTGGGTTTTGTAGCAGAGATGGAGTGTGGGCCTGAGAAATGCACACCTGGATCTGAAACACCCCAATATTCAGGAGAAATCAAATTAAAAACACAGCTGTCAGTACCTGGAGGGGAGCAAAACATATTTTGGAGGGTTTTGGAGACCTCAGGTGAGGTTTGGACTCTTATTCTTGGTTCTGCAGAAGCACCAGGGCAGAGCCTGCCCATACCCCAAGGAGTTTGTGGGGTGTGGGAGGTTGGAAGTGCTGCTGGGGAAGGCAAATCCTTCAGCTTGGTGAGGATTTCATTGCTCCCTGGATCTGCCTCCTCAAACCCTGGATCTGCCTCCTCAAACCTTGGATCTGCCTCCTCAAACCCTGGATCTGCCTCCTCAAACCTTGGATCTCCCTACTCCAAAACCCCGGATCTGCTGCCTCAAAATCTTGGATCTCCCTCCTCAAAACCCTGGATCTGCCTCCTCAAAACCTTGGATCTGCCTCCTCAAACCCTGGAGCTGCCTCCTCCAAAACCCTGGAGCTGCTGCCTCAAAATCTTGGATCTCCCTCCTCAAAACCCTGGATCTGCCTCCTCAAACCCTGGATCTCCCTTCTCAAAACCTTGCATCTCCCTTATCAAATCCTGGATCTACCTCTTCAAAACTCTGGATCTACCTCTTCAAACCCTGGATTTCCCTCCTCCAACCCTGGATCTGCCTGCTCAACCCCTGGATCTGCCTCCTCAAACCCTGGATCTGCCTCCTCAAACCCTGGATCTGCCTCCTCAACCCCTGGATCTGCCTCCTCCAACCCTGGATCTGCCTCCTCAACCCCTGGATCTGTGTGTTTTTCACGCTGTCCAACTCCAGCTCACACCAAACGTATTTCTTGGCTCCCTGGAAGCCAGGCAGTAAAATCACACTGCTTGGCAAACGAGTTGATGAGGGGAAGCGAGAGGGAAGCCAAAAAAAGAGGCAGGAAAAAGCCACCTTGCCCCTCAGAGCTGGCAGTAGGGCTGGGCTGGAGCGAGGCAGGGAAGGGGCCAGGGTGGATTTGGCAGTGTCAGGTGGGAAGGAGCTTCAGGATCAGAAAGGTGAAATCCATAAATGAATAAATAGCATGGGAACTGCACAGTCGGTGCTGCTGGAAAGGCAGGGGCACTGCTTTGATTCCCAGTCAGAGCCACAAAGGCACAGAGTGGGGAGTTGAGAACGTGGGGGGAGCTTTAGGCTTTTCAGTCCCTTTGGATGTGGATGGATCTGTGGAGTCTGACTCCTTGCCCTAGCCCCTGCAAGCTCCTGGCAGCATCCTGGTGGCTGCAGAAGGCCCTGGATGAGCTCAGCCCCACGTCCCACACAGGACAGAGTGCCTGGAGGGGCTGGGCTGGGCTGGGGAACATCTCCAGATCCTCGGTGCTGACTGGAGGCTCTGCCCTGCTCCCACCCAGCAGGGCCGGGACGGCGCTCAGCAGGAGCCCTGCCTGAGCACAGGGTGACACTGCCAGGGACACAGGGGGACAATGCCAGGGACACAGGGTGGCACTGCCTGAGCACAGGGTGACACTGCCAGGGACACAGGGGGACAATGCCAGGGACACAGGGTGGCACTGCCTGAGCACAGGGTGACACTGCCAGGGACACAGGGGGACAATGCCAGGGACACAGGGTGGCACTGCCTGAGCACAGGGTGACACTGCCAGGGACACAGGGGGACAATGCCAGGGACACAGGGTGGCACTGCCTGAGCACAGGGTGACACTGCCAGGGACACAGGGGGACAATGCCAGGGACACAGGGTGGCACTGCCTGAGCACAGGGTGACACTGCCAGGGACACAGGGGGACAATGCCAGGGACACAGGGTGGCACTGCCTGAGCACAGGGTGACACTGCCAGGGACACAGGGGGACAATGCCAGGGACACAGGGTGGCACT